TCTGATGGAGTTTGGACTCAGTACTGGATCTGTTGGTCTGATGGAGTTTGGACTCAATCCTAAACCTGTTGGTCTGATAGGGTTTGGACTCAGTCCTGGATCTGTTGTCTGATGGGGTTTGGACTCAGTCCTGGACCTGTTGTTCCTATGGGGGTTTGGACTCAGTACTGGACCTGTTGGTCTGATGTGGGTTTAGACTCAGTCCTGGAACTGTTGGTCTGATGGGGGTCTGGACTCAAAGTCCTGGACCTGTTGGTCTGATGGGGGTTTGGACTCAGTCCTGGACCTGTTGGTCTGATGGGGGTTTGGACTCAGTCCTGGACCTGTTGGTCTGATGGGGGTTTGGACTCAGTCCTGGACCTGTTGGTCTGATGGGTTTTGGACTCAGTCCTGGACCTGTTGGTCTGATGGGGGTTTGGACTCAGTCCTGGACCTGTTGGTCTGATGGGTTTTGGACTCAGTCCTGGACCTGTTGGTCTGATGGGGGTTTGGACTCAGTCCTGGACCAGTTGGTTTGATGGGGGTTTGGACTCAGTCCTGGACCTGTTGTTCTGATGGGGGTTTGGACTCAGTCCTGGATCTATTGGTCTGATGGGTTTTGGACTCAGTCCTGGACAATAAAGACACGTTGCTTCTCTCTTTGACAGACAGGAAATGTAACCCGAGCCTTTTGGGTATTATTGGACTGAACAGCACCACCCCTGCAGGTCAGGACCATGTTGTCCAGTGGTGGGACGCCCAAGGAATTGTGGGATTGATTCTTTTCCTCATGTGTGTTCTGTACTCCAGGTAAGGACCTTGTTTCATTCAGAGTCCAAATGTAATCATTGTTGAATAACATGATCTTAAACTGAAAATAATTCTGTTGTTGGTTACTGAAAGGCCTTTTTGTCCTCTTTCTCCCCTGTTTGTCCCCTCTTTGTCCTCTGGTTCCCCTCAATTTGTCCTGTTGGACTTCTGTTTCTCCCTCAGTATTCGTAACTCGTCCAACACCCAGGTCAACAAGCTGACCCTGTCCACCGATGAGTCTGCTCTGATCGAGGACGGATCTCAGATGGACAACTTTGACGAAGGCAGCAGCTTGAACAGAGCCGTGGACAACGAGAAAGACGGCGTGACGTATTCATACTCATTTTTCCACTTCATGCTGTTCCTGGCTTCTCTCTACATCATGATGACTCTCACCAACTGGTACTGGTGGGTTCCACTCACAGCACAGCTCCAACCTCTCTGCACAAACACAAAATACTTGGTGTGGTAGTAGCTGAGAGTCGTTACCAACTGATGGTCTGATTTTACCATGAAGTGACTATAACCGTATTTCCATCAAGGCTTTTTGATGAGCATTTTGAAGTGTCGCATTAAAAATGCGAAAAAAGTCAGATGGAAACAGCAAAATTCAAAAAAAAAAATCCTCAATTCGCTAAAAAGTTTTTACGCTCACTTGAGGTGGTTTTTGGATGATTCGCAAAGTAGTTAATGCGCAAAACGGGAGATGGAAACATGTTTGCCGAATAAATTCTGACGTAGCGCATATTTACGTCACATGACGTTCAGCTGTTTCCGCTTTCCTGCCTCGTCCCTGCGTAGTTGCACGTGCCTTTCTGCTGCCTAGTTTAACATTGCGTTTATTTCCCTACATCTCCTGGCAACGTTAAACATAGCCTGTACTAGCTGAATAGATAGAATAATTACAACTTGCCCAATAGCAAGGCATTCACGAAAAAATCGCACCATTGTCCAGAGATGATTAGTCTCTGCCAGTTAGCAAGTTTCACTTCCTGTTTACTACTGCAAAGCTTGTTGCCGACTTCAGACGTAATCAAGTGTTGTGTAGCCTCGTCTGACGTAATCACGCATTGCGTAGCCTCATTTATTCGCATCAAACAGTCGAGAGGGAAACTAGATGGAAACAGTCTAGATTCTAATTTTTATTTATTTAATTTTTTGGGAATTTTGAAAAGTTCGATAAAAATTCACTCTACAACTGGATGGAAACACGATTAGTGGATTCTGTTAGAAAAATATTTCATGAATCACTGGATGGAATTCATCAGATGATGTCATTGAAGGACAACATGGAGAGGATTGGATGAAGTGTGTACTTCTTGGTCATTAGTTTTTGTTCTAAAATCAGATATTAACAGTTGTTCTATTTTGGCCCCTCCATACTACAGCACGGGGCATCAGATCTAACCCTCAGGCTGTTAGAATCTGACCCATAGAGACTCGACCTTCTCTCCAACTGTCCCTCAGGCTGACTGAACCTTCAGTTTCCAGCCCCAGCACAAATCATCTTAACTTTCAGAAACTACACTACTTTTCTCAAACTGAGTACAAGTACTTCAGTTGGGGTATACGCCAATATCGAGTACTGATACTGAGTACCAGTGGTGGGCAGCAGTCTGCTAAAGGCAAGCGCAATTCCGCTAATTGCGGACCTAAATGTTTTATTTGCACTTTAGCGGTCTTACTAATTTTTATAATTTATAAGCAGATTTGCACTTTCTAAAATTAAACTGCAGTACGGCTAATAACTAATTATCTACCAGTCATCATTATGTTGAACAGCAGAAGGTATGACTGTCAATGAATCACAACACGGGATCTATCCAACAGCACCCCTCCCAGATAAACACACTTATTGTGAAGGTATACATCCTGCTGACTGTTGCTTTGGGTCACGGTTCTGATTTCCCACAATGTTTTGTGTCTGCTTACGTAGCAGGAAGGCAACAGCAAAAACAGTAAACGTTTACTTTACAGTCGGAGCTCCTTTTTTGAAAAAAATGAAGTTTAAATGCTGCAGCTCAAAAGCAATCGAATAACTGTGTTAGAGACTCAAAAATGATTTAAAGATGTTACATTGGTGAAGGCTGACATCTAGTGGTCAACTGGAGTAACTACATGAAAACGTCCTAATCCAGGTAGAAAAAAATTAAAAATTAGTAGGTCCTCTGGATGGTTCTTCTTTAGTGAAACGTTTCATCTCTCCTCCAAGAGACTTCTTCAGTCTGAGTTTCAGGTGAACTGAGAAACTTTAAAATCCAATGGAAACATGAAAAACTTTAAAATCCAAGCTCTTATTTTGAAGGGAAGATAATAGTTTCCTGTTCCCTGTGCTTTCATTTCCCGTCAGTCTGTCGTACCCAGAATGTATCGCTTCAGTTTTCCAATAAACAGTTTTAAAATTACTTTATTGATGCTTCTTTAATGAAAAATCTACAACAAACAAAYGAAAAAGACAAAGAAGCAGCCGAACTAGCAATCCTCAACAACTTTTCAATTTTTACACCAGGAGCTAAAGGTCTGTTTCATGCAATCACATCCCCAACAATCAGCGGTTTTAGGATTAAGCTGTAAAAGGATTCATACACCGCTAGTTGGCAGTGTTGTACATATTGTACATGAATTGTCAGCTAGTGAGTTTCAAATTGAACTTGTGCTTTAAAATTAGCTTCCGCTAGTTTCCATGACATAAGCACTTTAGGAATTGCGGAGCTAATTTTTGGATTAGCGCTGCCCACCACTGCCGAGTACTTACGGAGTCCAAACCTAAACATTACACAATGACTTTAAAAACATATTTTAATTAGAATAAGGTCCCTCCTTCCTTATATATTTGTAAAAATGCTGGTATTAGTATTGGGACACCAATACTACTTACTAAATTTTAGGATTTTTAACCATATTTTCAGTACTTATTATTCAGTTTAATGATTTTTTTATAATGTTGGATATTTCCAAAAGATGTGTTGTTGTTTGGACTTTCAGACTGAATAGTTTTTGAGTTAGTTTGATTAAGAGCGTGGTTTTGTACATTTTCACAATTTAAAATACAGAATAAGTCAACGTTTGAAMATTTCTTTCTATGTTTTCTTTAATTTCTGTTCTGCTTCATGGTGGAAAAATCAAAATGTGTTTGTTTGTGCAGCCCTGACTCCAACTACGAGGCCATGACCAGCAAGTGGCCGTCTGTCTGGGTGAAGATCTTCTCCAGCTGGATCTGCATCAGTCTCTACGTGTGGACTCTGGTGGCTCCTCTGGTCCTGGTCAACAGGGACTTTGACTAAAACCCTCCAAACAAACTGCGGCTGTGTTTCATTTGAGCTAACCTTCATCTCTCACTGTGGCTGCAGTCAGTCATGCTAACACAGATAGAAGTCATCATTGTTTGGTAGTCTTGGCTTGTTTGTGCCGTCCGGGTGATGAAATAAAGCAGTTTGCATGTTTTCCTTTCTGCTCCAACTGTAGTCCAGACGATGTGCCGTTCTTGCTTTGATTCATTGTGCTGTAAATATGTTGTTCCAGGAAACAAGCATGCTTTTCCTTAAATGCTAGTTTAACAGTAGTTTTTATCTTAATCTTAGTATTACATGTGAAGTGATGCAGAAAACGGGTCTGACCGAATTGTTTCGCCTCCATGCAGAAGCTGTGTTTTCCTGCACATACAAAATACTCATCCCTGTTTTTTTGGGCTTTGATTAGTGTTTTCTGTATGTGTGCAGCTTAAATCCATGGCTAAAGATGTTTAATGAAGCTATCTGATAGATTTTAGCATGTGTATACTCTCACAAGTTTGTATTTTTTTTTTATGAAATGATGTGTTAACTTAAATAAAGAATTCAGAAAATGATTGTGAGTTTTCTTACCTCTTATTTTTCATTGAACAGATAAACTTCTGGACTGTATTTGAAAGTGTCTCCATTAGAAAATCACAACACTGATTGAGAAGTTGATTTTTCCAATTTACATTTTTTAGCTTGTTTTTAAACAAGCATTTTCTCCAGGGGTTCACTTTGTTGACATTTTACTGTAAGTAAGAAAGCCTGTCTGTAATCGCTTTCTAGTAAGTTTCTGACAAGGTCATGTTTTTTTTTTTTAAGGATGGCCTCCCTTCTCCCCTTATAGCCATCCCCTCCACACCATTATGTTTTTTTTTTTTTGTTTTGTTTTTTGTGAAGAGAAAATATAGAGAGAGAGAAAAACAGAGAGAGAAGTAATTAGAAAGATAGAAAGACTGAAATAGCGATTAGGATTATATTAAATATCTACCAACAAAACACAGGACCACACACCCAACATCTGTCCGCTCACCTGAAAAATAAATGGATAAATACATGGAGGGCATATATAAAAATATACACATACCCATACATATATAAAGATATACATACATACATGCCTACATTCATAAATATTGTCAGTATATACACACAGACATATATACTGTACACAGACATATATACT